AGGGTAAGAGTAGGTGTGTGTTAAAAATTTCACTGCCTCAAAGAACGTAAATCCAGTTAATGGTGAACCATTAAACCACAGACGAAGAGATGACAGTATAAGTTTGCACGTTCTCCCTTTTAAGCTCGTCTGTGACGTTCGATTAAAATTGTATTTCGCGCGACACGTCGTGCCAAACCACTTTCTTTCACAGGATGCTCGCTAAACGAATAATAGATAACGTTTATTGATCGAACCGGCGAGCAAATTCACAAATATCCGATGGATGTTTATTAAACTCTATAAAAAAGGAAGCAAAGCACGATTGGCACAACACGTTGAATTTAAGTCCTATTTATATCCTTTATACGTATAAAAATGTAAATATAAATCATTTTTTCTTTTATTTTAAAACATCAAAAATATGTCGAAAAATAAAAATTTTCAAAAGAAAATTCCTAGGTAACACGATCACTATTTTAAAAGCCTTTATAATTTTATCCAAAGTTAATTAACCGTATAATAATGAAACGTGGAGATATTTCAGTACTCAGCGGAAATTTTCAACATTCACCATTTAAATAATATTCTATTGTCATTACATCGTTGGTTATAAGACCTCATTTTCATTTAGATTGTTCGCCAGAGTAATAATACGAATGCAATCAGCGTTGTACGTTGAAAATGATTTCGCACGTTATTACGCGTACCGCGTTCGGCGTTCCAATATTCTTCTACGCGATTAGTCGATATTTGAGAGTTGATTGCGATTTACCGCGGATCATGGCACTTTTAAATCGCAGTTTTTAACGAGATTCCTCCCAGTCCACATCTTCGGGAACTCAACTTTTCCGGCTGCGAAGAAATTTAATAATGAATGCATTTTCATATAACGTTCGTCTACCCATGTCCTGCAAAGGCATGTCTTTCACAGCGTTCTTTACCATCGGCACTGACATTCACCAACGAGTGACAGCTGTTTAATGAGAACACCCTGTAACAGCTTTGAAGGTACACAAACGTATTTATAAAGAAAAATTTTGCTGTAATGCAAGGACAATATATTTATAGAAAGGTGGATTCAAATGATCTTTTCTATTCACGGATTATTATAATTGATAAACATTATTGTTGTTATTTACATCAATATCAAGATTCTTTAAATTTTTTAATTAATTTAGAATTTAGAAATTGTTTGATTATATGTTTGCTAAAATTGATATAATTCAAGTGATTATTTTGTAGAGGATAGTCAGGTTTTTTGTTTAAATCTCGTAAAAATTAAGATTTAAAAAATTCCTGCTTTTCCTGTAATGCCATTTTCCTTAGGGAAGCTTAATTTGCTCGATACTGTACATATTTATAAATTAAGAAAATATTTTTTAAAAATAATGAACAATTTAAAAAAAATTGTTTAATGTAGTAACAGTCTAAGATTAACAATGAAACATTAATTTAAATCATTGATTAACTGTATTAACATGAGCGATGGATTAAAAATATAATTTTCTATTCAGTAGATTCGCTGTTGCTAGTAGTAAAAGATGATTATATCCCCGCCGTGTGGCTAGTGTTCCAAGTAGAATAGACAGCGGATCGTGACAAATCAGACAAAAAGAGCTGCCTGCTGGAAGAACGTGGTGTGCATGTCTGATTCTATAATAGAGTCTACTCTACTTGCGGTCTATTCTACTTACTCCAAGTTGCAATCAAATTGGAGGAGATACCGCGTACTACGTCAGGTGCTCTTAAAGGCATTAGTTTACTACTAACACATCGAATGCTTTAGGGGTCATTGATGACCGGCATTATAATTGAAATGCATATAACCGAATAATTAGAAAATTAGTCGAAATAATAGGAAAGTATTTATTTCATATAGTTCTATTATTAGTAGCGTTACTACATATTTTTAAAAAGAAATTAAAAAGCTTAACATTGAAAATTAAGTATTCATATTTTTAATAATTAAAATTTCAATATGTTTTAAGAATACAAATAATTAACATTCAAATTTAAGTTTTCAAATCGCTACTCTACATAAATGACAGAGCAGTAATACTATTTATCCTCTTTTACCTTTAATTAATTAATTAGTTAATTACACAAGTAACCATCATGGCAGTTGATTCTCTTTCTCTGGTAGTCAAACAGTGTATTAGCGTGTATTATACAATAATCGATAAGACGATTCTCTAACAATCAGTCAGTTTGAATTAAAAACGGATAGACTGACCTGATTGTTCCCTTCAGCATAAATGCTTGACCACGGCGGATAATTGCAGTGCATCGAAATTGAAGACGCGCATCGATTCGATTAACAGTCGCATAATCAGTAACTCTGTGTAATTGTATTTTCATTACAAGCGCTGCATAGGGTGGAAATTTGCTGGGGATTCGTTGATGCGACTTAATTGAACCATTTCGTATTTCCATTCATAACCACGGACCACGTAATTTGAATATACGTTGCGAGCATAATTTTGTTGTTTTCTAGTTAATGAGATTCATTAAATATCTATGAGGTTCAAAGAATTGATTACATTTATGTATAGTGTCTATTAATTATACTTAAGATCCCAATTAAAAAGCAAAAAATTGACAAAATAAATCATGTTTTTGTAATTTATAAGAAGTTCTATTGAAAACAATGAAATTACGTGAAAATTTATTTTTGAAAATGTACTCTAAAAAAGTCACTATTGCAAACATCGATTTTTCTGTACTATGATTTGTAAAACGTAATATTACGTACTTGGACACTAAATGATTAAAAGAAATTTTGCGATTGGAGTTTCGGTAATCTGAAATTTTGGAATTCTGAAATTTTTAAATTTTGGAAAGCTAAAATTCTGAAATAGGGCCAGTTCACATTGATGGGAGCAGGGGATCAGGCCCACCCTGGCCTTATTTAATTATGTCAATGTAAATAACAATATTCAAAGTGAACATTGGAGAATCTGAATGAACTTCGTTTGAGAAAATTCAAGGAACGTTTTTTCTTGCTCCTCGTAGGACATAGGATCCTTTTGGTGAACATCGATTTCCATTTAATCACGATTTAGTTACGTTTTTAAATCCGGCCTTGTTTAAGAAGAATGCTTTCCTACTCCATTTGAATGCAAATTTATTTTTAACGATCTTATAGAAACGTACGCGATTTCTGTTGTTCGAGATCCTTTTGGCATTACAGAGACATCGTAGAATACATAAAATGCGAACTTTCTTAACAATTACTTTTCGTGAATCTCAAATTCAACTGTACTTGTCTCAGTTGATTAAAGATACAGATTCGAGGAGACTCTTTTAATGAATAAGTAAGGTTTCAAAAGACGTCAATCCGGAGTTGGTAAAGTTTGCATGAAAATATACTCGTGTATTCCCATTGGGAAATGTTTCGATTCATGTCGATTTATAGACTTCCATGAAATGCAAATTGGAATGGGCGTGCCGTATTCAGTTCACTACGTAAAAATTAAATCGATGAAGATCGTATTAAACGTCGTGTTTATGTAGCTGCTGAACCAACAGCTGTTCTAAATTAAGCGTACCGATTATACTGCTTTTTCGCATTAAAACGATCAACATGGTAGTTTTAGCAATTCTTTAAACCTAAACGAATTAAAGGTTTTAAAAAATTATTGTATATCATTTATCATTTTTTAAGCAAAACCCCTTTTAATGTAAACTTTCAATATTATTTTTGAATTATTTTATATTTTTCATTTATTTATTTTTTTTTTAGAAATCATTTTTAAAACATCAAGTACTATCTGATAAATTAATTTAAATTGGAATGAATTTTAAAAGATAATTTTCGATAATTTTAAACGAAATGGAAGCACTTAACATAATTAGAATTATTTGCTCCAAAATAGTAACACTTAGACTGATTGGGTATTTAACGCTGTAAATGTGACCACATAAAGAAGCGAAAGAATGTCTAATTCACCACAAGTTGACTATAAAGGGCCCTAAGGACTCATTTCTTTGATGGCGTAAAGTAGCAAATTACAGCGTAAAATGATCCCACTGTGTGATACTAATTTTTGAACATTTAAAGAATTTCACTTTACGTGGTTATTGATAAGTTATTTTCAATTGAAACACATCATTGTTAATTAAAAGTGCTCATTTAATTTCTAATTATTATGTCATAAAACGATCGAAGATTGTGTATATTCCAAAGATAACGTCTTTTTCTTCCATTTATCATCGGTGAAAAATTTGTCTGTCAGCTAGTGACATTAATTCAATATGATAGCTCTGTAATCCGAGCACAATTGATTGGATTGCGGGCCTAATTTGTAATCCGCAGACATATGGCATGAATCGATATCTCTTTCGCCATCCTTCCACCACACCGACCTGTTGTTTTCGCGTCTGTCGTTTGATCAATCAATTAGAGTTATTATCATGACGCGTTGCCCCTCGGAATTGTACTTACTCCTAATTAGTCATCATTCATTTGCCTTGAAAATATTCTCATCAATTTTCAAAATAATCCTAACTATTCTGAAAGAACCTTCCGTTAAACTTATGGTTATTTATTTATTGTATTTATTATTACAGTCATTGTATTTATTGCTATCATCATACATTGAAACATTACTTATATAGGAAAAACAAACATTGTTAATCAATATTTTATTAAATATTTCATTAAATAATATCAATTTTTTAATTTTGTAAATATGCACTCGCGATCAAATTAGGCTTCCCAAGGGAAAATGGCAATGTCCAGGATTCTCGTCCTTCTCCATCTACAGTTATTAAAATTACTTTTAATATTGACACAATCAATAATAAGAGTTTAAGAGAAATAACTTTTAGAAACATTTGTAGTGATTTAATATGATACTCTTTAGAATCTTCTCTAAGTTATTCGATTATATTAAATTTATAACATTGAACTGTGTTCAATCCATAATGGGTGAAATTTGTGTATAGTTTCATAAGTGGATGGCATACCTTCAATTACCAATTTGGTACAGATAGTAATTGACTGTGTTAAATTACAGTTGCATCTCCGCCCGACCGCAGAGTGACGAGAGATGATATCGCAGTGTCCTCGCCCGATGCATCTCCAAACGCTAATGAAGCTACTAGCTGCACTGGTACAGCATCCTCCCGATTGTACAATCCTTCCTCGCCGGGTCGAAATGGTCAGCTATCCAGTAAGTAATACAGTTGTTACATGATACCGGTATCATTATACAGTTTACCTTGTGGTGATCGATCGAATCGTCCGATTGAACATTACTGTTGCAATAAGTTGCGAAATGAAGCTATCTAAAGCAAAATTATCAATCGTACAACAAATGCTGTAAAACATTTTAATTTTTATAAATGAATAAGGTAGCATATATTTGTTAAATAAATATTTGTACTATAATTTTTAAGTGTACAATGAAAATTTTTTAAATATTTAACTGATTATTTTGCGATACTGACTCATAAATAAAACTGAATAGTTTTCTCATTAAACGAAGCAGTATTTAATGAAACTCTTTGTCGATGTTCCAGAACAAGGCACGTTAACGATAGTACGTCGAAGTTCCGGCAAGAATAAAAGTATCGGCGAAAGTTTCGAAAGTTCTCCACCACCGCACAGTCCTGACACTCTTTCGTCAAGCCAATCTGTGGATCTTGACGAGATTCTAGATAATGTCGATCTTACGACGGACTCGCTTCCTGCCGTTGACACCCCCGATGCTTGTGACAAGGCTGCCCTCAGGTACTTTACTTCGAAACTTTGCATTTTAATCTTCAATCAGTTTTCTTTCCTCGTGAAACCTAAGGACGATCATTGTTATCAAGTCCTTGAGAAAGTTTAGATATCTTGTTAAACTTTAAAGGATAATGTTATATAAATCTGATCGATCGATAAATGGCGGATAGAAATATTTATTAAAAACATTGGCGTAACTGGGATTTTATCGTAGAGTGGACCAGGTTCCTTAAAAATTTTGAAAATCTCGAATTTCTGGATTCTAAAATTTTGAAATATTGAAGCGTTAAAATTTTAGTATGGTGAAGCACCGTCAACATTTTTATGGGAGGCCGAGTTTACCCTATCTAAATACGCCAATAACTATAAATTAAAATAGATGTATATTATAATACATGATAATTGTGATTGCATATTGCATTATCTAGTGTTTCATTTTGGGTGAATAATTAAAGACACTATAAAATATATTTCCTAACAGTAACAAACAATTCATTAGTCTCATTAAAATGGTAAAATTTGCAAATTGTTCACGTTCAAACAAAATAAAATGTTAATTCTTGTTGCAGATTAAGGTGCTTGTTGAGGCAGCTTCAGCATGGCGAAATATCTGCAGAATTGCTGCAACGAAATTTGAATTACGCTGCACGCGTTCTTGAAGCAGTCTTCCTCGATGAAACCAAGTAAGTTCCGCTCAAAATGATAATTAATAATCCTTTGTGTAAACATCACCTTAAATAACGTTGGACCAGTTGTGTCTATTATAGCTTCCTTGCTAACAGCGACTATGAGAAGATTTTTTCAAGTATTACACATTTTTCGTAGTATATTATTGTAATACTATATCATATCTAATATATATTGTATTTATTGTTAAGTATAATCATGTCGTGGCATTTCAATTTCTAGGTAACTCATTTATTGCTGGTTAAAACAATTTTTATTATTGATATTACCTGCTACATCACTATAAATTAAATAATTAATTAAACAGATTTTTACAACTATTTTACATACGTATACCACTCACGACTCCTGGTAACCTATGAATCGTATTTTTTTCAAATATTTTTGCATTGTATTTTTGTAATTCTCTACAAAAAATTTGGATTATTCTTTAGTACTATGGATTACATTCTTTTTAATATTTTTTTTGCATCTTTTAAAGCTGTATATGCTGTGTATACTATGTATACTGTGTAAGGTATTAAAAGTTATATTTAATTGAAATATTGATAGGAATTTGAAATTTTATCAACAGCCTCGGTTCGAGGAATAAGGACATCAAGAGCGCCTCTTTAGCTCAGTGGTAGAGCACTGGTCTCGTAAACCAGGGGTCGTGAGTTCAATCCTCACAGGAGGCAATTAATTTTTTTCAGTTTTTTACTTTTATGTATCTTCAAATCATTTAAATAATATTACTTTTTCTAAAATCTACGAATTTTAACAATTATTTTAATGATTAAATTGCATACAACTTTTATCATCTTTATATATTTATACTTATTATCCTTTATTAAACTCTGAATTTTACTACAAAAATGAATGGTTATTATATCATCAGTCGTTACGTTATGTTAAAAAATTTATTCTTCGACATTTTTTTAAATTCTCTTCTTTATTTCTTTCACATATCAAAATCGATTAAATGCACGTGGCAACGTTGATGAAAGCAGAAAGGTCTATCCAAACTCGGATTTATTTTTAACCGAGCTGAAATTTGCAAAGCCGCACCCAATAAGGAATATCCGTATGTTTTTTAACATCATCGTCGTCACGTCGGATATATTATTATATTTACACCTGCTGTTATATAACAAAATACATCTAAATCCTTTCTAACCGCAGTCGCAATCATCTTCAGCCTGTGTCTACTTCAACATCGTTTATTTATCGAAAAATTTGAATGAACTATATTCTTGAGATTAATACCTTTCAGCATGGTGCGTTCAGAAGGGAAGAATATCTACTGGTGCGATTTTCAGATAAACGACATCGTTAAATATTAATTTGTTAATTGGCAAAAACAGGACTCCCGGCAGATTGCAGCTCGAACGACCGGTCATCCCTGTTATGCTGACGTGAATAATGCTAATAATTTGTGATAAAGAAAACTGTAATATTCTACTGTTCTGTTCCCTACCTGACACGTGCACTAACAAGCAGTACCGCAGGGTGAATTCAGGAGGGGTTGAGTGCTCTCGGTCATCGCGTAGGGGTGCGGGCCTGTCATCTGCATCCATTGGGAGCGGCTTGGACTCGGACGGACAACAGGGCCACGCGGTGGTAACCCAGAAACGGAAGCTTCGCACCCCCGTATGGGCAAGGTTGCGAAATATTCACATTTCCGACCTCACACCACTTGTTCGTTCCCTGGCTCGAACCCGAACCGACTCCCGCCACGCCACGTTTTCCCCATCGGCATCTTTTTCTCGATCTCATCATCCGTTAGGGTTCCAATCATGCTTCGTTTGCTCGATCATTAGCAGGAAATCGAACCTTACCCGTCAACCAGACCAAACTCCGGGCTTTTCGAAGGCGATTCGAAGGGGATTTTTCATAGTGAATAATGAACACGTCCATGGGGGAGAGCGAAACGCTGTCGCGGAAATGGATGCGAGCTTCTTTTCTGAAACACTTTTGGTTGGAAGATATCTTCCTTCTTTATTCTTTTTTTTTATATTAAGAAATCTTTAAGATGAAGAAATGTAGAAAATGTTTAACGCGTTGAGAACGAATTGATTAGTATTAAATAGAGATAGGTATATAGATGAATAGGAAGATTGCTGGAACAATTTTTCTTAATTATATCGCCTACACCTTTTTTGAAGTAACGCTACACAATTTTTTATTACAATTTTGTAAGTGATAGATGTAGACAAATTTAATAATAAATAAACTTTTGTAGGAAATGTAATTTTTAAACGTATTTATGATAAATGATTGAAATAATTATTAATCATTTTAAACTGATATATGATGGGTATCGATTGATGTATTGTTGACTGAATTATTTTACAATGAATACTCTATATAGACCATCATTATTTTTGCAAATTAAATGCATACGAATGTTCATCAAAATGCACATTCTTAATATGCAAATTAAAATATCGAGCATTTGCATTAGCATCCTTCAGCTAATAATAGAGGATTTTAATTAATACAAGTGTAGAGCTCAAGATATAAATTAAAATTGAAATTTGAAATGGAAATTTGTATAGCAAAATAATTCGTTCGATCAAAATCTGATCGCACGTTCTCGACGTGTTAACATTCAATGTTATTGGATAGGATGTTCGCACCCCAATTCCTAGGATATTTTTAACAACGTTATCTTACTGTTCTAATATATGCCGCAGAGTTACACTATGTTTTCTTCTAATCAATACATACATATGTAGTTTTGGCTTCGTATCAAACTGATAGTGTAGATCTTGTGCAGCAAGTAGAATTTGTTAGCAAATTCTCTAGAAAAATGATACTCTTCCTTACTAATTTGCACATTATCTACGATGCACGATTTAAACATGTAGTGAACAATACATGAATAACGTAGAAAATTTACGAAAAAAAGTTAAAAGCTAGAAATTACAGTGTAACCTGTCATAGTAAGTAGTAAGACCAAGAATATTAATTTTATTAGATTAATAAGTACTCGCGTTACGTGAGAAGCCGAGAGTCTCGGGTAAATTTTTGGCACTGGATATCCCGATCGGACCTGGAATTGTTTTGGTCAGCTCAGAATTAATGAGGTACAGTTTTTTGCGAATACTTTCAATCCTCGGTTATATTCAACAAAATTCGTCTTGAATTATAGTTCTCCAAATTTCCCGAAATTTTTGAGTTCTCACGTATCTATACTTTCAAGAGCCAGAACCAACGCGACATGACCCGAACAATTTCGACCCGACCCGATATTTTCGGGTTCTCGTACAATTATAATAAATACTTAATACAAATAAAAAACAGAGCTAAATTTCACTACACAATACCACATTTTTCACTATTGAATTTAACGAATCCCAGTCACTCGATTAAAATTTGTATTGTGAAAGGATTTAACGCATTTGACGTCTTATTGTAAAAAACACAATGCCATTAGAATTGCGCATAAAACAAACAGGAATTAGATGACAAATTGGTACAAAATGATCACGATTGATTGTACCTAATAGACACGTTTAAACTGGGGCTATTATTTTAAACTGAATGTCTGAAATACTTGGGTACTCAGATATCTGTAAGATACGTAGATAGACCTAAATTGTTTAATTGGTTAGATAGTCAAGCACCTCGATTAGGAAGGTGTTATCTTTTCATAATTTTGGACAAAAACATCAGTAATGAATGAAACATTTTTCAAATCGTTGGTGTTTTAATAATTACTGTTATAGTATAATGTTCTTTTATTAGAATGAGAGAAATTTTTTGGTATCTCACAGATAGCCAGGTAACCAGGTATCTCATAAATTAACAGTTCCAATTAAAACACAGCATGACGACTATCTTCTACCTGCCTGGCCTGTCTCTCCCCTATTCTAGCCTCTTTTTAGATCTTTCTAGGTGTAACCTGCTCAATTTTTGGGTGACTGCCTGTTTACCAACTGTATGCATCGCTCTGTTAAACATCGTCTTCCTATTTCTCTGTTTCATGTTCCCTACGCCCCACTATTACACATCTGCATCAAACATGCGACTAAAATTATTTTATAAAAATCCCTTAAGTACTTATCTCTTATTATTTCCATTTATTTCACCAAAGTCAGTAGTATCAATATGTAACTCGACAAAATATTTTAAACACAATATTGTAAAAATTAAAATTTATTATTTATTATTAGCGATTAATAATACTTAGCGATTATTGAACAAAAATAAATTACAGTCTAATTGTTCAATTGGTTACAGATGTAATCTTACAAAAGGACTTTAAGTTGCACTTTTGATGCAAATGCACCAATGTACACTGCCGATCAAATCAGGCTTCCAAGCGAAAGTGGTAGATCCTGTTCTCCCCTGTAGGCTTTCCCTCTCCGTAGGCATCCCCAGGGAAATTTATAATAATATTTCTTTTGTTATTCGTACTTTTCACTGATATATTAAATTTTAATAATTATTTAATAATAAAAAATCATATTATTTTGCTTCTGAATCATTTTTAACATTAATGTCGTTAAAATGATGATTTTGAGCATTTCTGCTTCTTCTATATCGCCATTTTTCTTAAGGAAGCCTAATCTGATCGCGAGTGTACACCCCTTTACGAGGAATTGCATGCATATAGGATGATGTGTGACAACTGTCACTAATTAACGGAATGGAGGTGTTTAATGGAATGCTCGAAAGTTTCCTGTCCATCAACGAATTATCACCAACATTACAATCGATTTTTAGTCAACAATAATTAATTCAAACAATGAGCGAAACATGTTTTCTCTTTGATTTCTTTCTGTTTCACTTTCTTTCTTCTTTTCTATTCTTTCTTTGAGTCGCTCGTTTTATACGCACGCAGGCGGACATTTCTTGCTTTAGATACGGCTCTATGAACTGTAATCTGTCGTTAATGTGACACGCAACCTTTCTTGATGTTTGAAATTATAGAGATGCCGAGCGTGTGGAGTCAGCCGCTACTTGCCGTCAGGGTGTACGACGTAGGTTCGTTCTAAACGTTTGAATAACAAATCGCATTCTCTAGTTCACGTTCACGATGTATATCGCTCCGACATGCTTTCCATTTATTTTTATTATTTTTATCCTTTTCTTTTTTTAGTTGTTACTTTTCTCGTTTCCTCCAAAGCTCTCGTGGTTTTTGAGTTTATTGCGCGGAACTCGTACAAAGGGCAACGGGGAATTGTTATTTTTCAAGTGCTACGTTCCAATTCATTCGAGATAATTGCTATTTTTGAGGACCGTAGCCTTTCAGAAATTCTAACTCGTCCGTTATTCTTATAACTTTATTATTTGCCCCATTAGCGTAACTTGGGCCTTCTTCTGGAGTGGGCCAAATTTAGAAATTTCAATATTTAAAAACTTTTAGGGTTTTGGAATTTTTAGATATAGATATAGAAAAGCTGGAATTCTGAAATTTTGGCAGCCTAAATTTTTCTAACTGATATCTTCAAATTTTTTAATTCTAAAATTTTGAAGATCTGTAATCTTGCAATTTTGATATTTTAAAGATTTTTGATTACGGAAATCTAAAACTTTGAAAATTTATAATTTTGGAATTCTGAATTGGCCTGTACGTAATTACGCCAATGGTTCATTTTGATACATTTAACAAACATTAGTTCCCAGATTGTATTTTTACCGTATGTATTCAACCATTCAATGTGTAATAAAGTATAGTAATTATAGAAATGAATTTATTCTCCATAAATGATAGAACATTGTAAAATATAACCATCGATCTCACGTTGTCCTTTAAGTGTTAATTCAAACAATAATCACCCATGTTATGCATGATAAGCTGTTCATCATTAAATGTATCCGTTTCAAATGACAACCCTTCACCGTAACTTGAATTGTTCTTGTAAATACACTTCTATCACCAATATTCACCACGTTTTTTATGTATCAAACATGATCGAGTACATTTCCGATCTCACGTTCAATGTAAAAATGGATTGCTCAGACTGTTACCACTTTTTGTAAGATTATCTCGTATGATAAATGTTATCAACACCGATGACAATACACTTGATTACGTCAATGATATTACAAGATATAACGTTGGAAACATACTTAAGCAACGTTGATTCTTGTAATAAACGTAGAGAGAGAATCGATCGTTGTTTTATTGTCGCGATAACAGTACCTGTACTTGTTCGACATAAATATTTCTTTATATAGTTCAGATGTAAAAAAAAATCGGCTTTAAAATCAGCACTCTAAAAAATGAAACGTTGTATTCAGAGAGAGATTACTTTTCTCTTTCGGGTCAGCTGCGTGTCGTTTGTCGTGACTGCGTTTTATCATTCGATGCTTCGAAGCTTTCTTCGTGATTCGACCAAGTTTCGAGACCGAAAGTACTTTCCTTATACCAGATAAATTGAGACTTTTTGCGATAATCGATTCTTTCGTTATAAGAAAACATAAGGGGCGGAAGTACGTACTCTTATCTACTTTGCTACGTTCTCTCAAGTGCTGATTACAACACATTCTATGTTTAAATGGAAAATATTTGATTGGAGCGACTTTTCTGTTAAATTGTGTTAAGGGCTTTCAAGGATTTTTTATTTAATTATATTCATAATCTTATATTACTCTAATAATTTATAATGGTGTAAAAAATCCTTGTATCGAAATTTCAAAGAATTTCTTATAATTAGTACATGTTACAAATGATCAATCACTGTACAAGATCATTTTTCATTTAACGTTACATTGTTAGCTAATCTTACTGATTATATTCAACAGCGGTTCTCAACTAGTGTGCGGATGATTTGTGCAATATACAGTATAACAATTTTAATATTGTTTGAGTTTACTCTACTTTTCTTGGTACAATTAGAGATATAAAAATTAGAGATAAAGATTGTTTTAAAAAATGTCAAAAGATATTTCGAGATTAAATTCTTAATACAATTGATAACAATATCAATTTTTAATAATGATTTTTTAATTAACATATTTGAACACAATTTGTTTGCTTCCACAGAAATTGTTGCAACAACAATTTGTTCGCTTTGTTCAAAACACAGTTAGAGTCGCTTTCGCACTTAAGGATCCTATGCTTCCACCTATCAGCATATTTACCGTTGTTTCAAACATAATAGGATCCTTAATTCACACTTGTCGGCAAGTGCTTTCATCCTCACTAATCAACACAGAAAATACTCAAAAGCATCACCTGGGAGTCAAGATATTTAACTCTCGCAATAACAAAAGAAATTAAATGGACAAACATAAAATACCGTGAAAATCCATCGTCTTCAAAGTTATCACAAAACATTATAAAACTATCTTTTAAAAATAATTCTCAACGCATAAAACAACTAAAAATCAAGGAAAAGAAAAGTGAAGAAAGAAAATCACTTCGAAATTCACACTCATTCCACAATAAAAAGTTCTCCATAATCCGAGCTCTCTCGGTGAGTGGAGGAAAATGAAAATCGGTGAAGTCATCTAAACCATCTACCATCCGTTTCTTTTTTTAAGTTCCGTCAGATTCGTTTGCGGGACGATCGTCGAGCCTAAGCCCACTCTTTCTCTTTCTGTTCTATATTTTTTCTATTCTTCATTTGTCTATTCTGTCGTAAAGCGTAACGAAGGTAGGGGTTGTCCATCGTGATCCGACGTCCGCGTTCGCCGATGGTCGGATCCGCGTATAAGTAACCGGTGAATTTTCCTTAGGCGGCTGGCGGACGAGGACGACGAATTGTCGGAGGTTCAACCGGACGCGGTGCCGCCGGAAGTACGCGAATGGCTCGCTTCGACGTTCACGAGGCAGCTGGCAACCACCAGACGAAAGGCGGACGAGAAACCCAAGTTCCGCTCGGTCGCGCACGCCATCAGGGCAGGGATCTTCGTAGATCGGATTTACAGACGGGTCACCAATACCGCGTTGATGCAGTTCCCCCAAGAAGTGGTTAAAGTGCTTAAGGTACCACGGTGATGGCACTTCTCCGACGCGCTTCAAGTTTGCATGATCGATCGGAAAATAAAGAAAATTATGATAGACATTCTTGATAACACTTCTGTTCGATAAAAGTATATTTATTTAATATTTTGTGAAGGGATACACGATTATAGCTCGGTTATTCCCAACGTGGGGAAAACACAAAGTTGCAACACTGATTTTTCATAAGTGAATAGAAGGAAATATAGAGGGTGTGGTAATCCCTTGAGGGGGTAATTCATAGTCAAATATTTCAAGTATACACTATTATCTACAAATAAGGGTGGGAAAGTCCTCTTTCTTCATGTTAAATTTATCAGAGCATTTTTGTGCATTACCACCCTTCCCGAAAGGGTACCTCAGAGCCGTAATTTTATTCTTTCAATGAATTTCATTTGAATTCTTGAATAACGATGGCTACATAAAATAGAGAGATATCAATCGTAGGTCATTGAAAAGTTATTAATTTGTCATGAAAAATTATAACCAAAGGCTGATTATTGGTAGACTCATACTACTAGATTTGCCGTTGATGTACTATTTTCAAGAAAAATGTCGAATTTTCATAAAGTAAATAATATTTCAAACGGTAAATTACCGTCGTTATAAGCTCGTGTCATTGATCTTAAACTTACGTTCTCATTCAAGACCCTGGATGACTGGTCGTTCGACGTGTTTTCATTAAGCGAAGCCGCAATGGGAGCACCGGTTAAATACCTCGGTTACGATCTGCTAAATCGATACGGCATGATCCACAAATTCAAAGTTCCCCCTGCGGTTTTGGAATGCTTTCTGGGAAGAGTCGAGGAGGGTTACTGCAGACATCGAAATCCGTATCACAACAATCTGCATGCTGCAGACGTTGCCCAAACTATGCACTATATTTTGTGTCAAACAGGATTAATGGTAAGTTTCAGATGAAATGTGACAATTTTAAAGAATACTGGTAATACAATTTAATTGTTTAAATGATCACAATAGATATTAACACCTCTTTCATAGAAAAGATTAATCCTTCGTTGCATTGTCTTTTCCAATTTTCCACTCTTGTAAGTAATAATGATAAGAAAATGAAAATTCAAAACAATCTTTTTTTAGAAGTAGAAATTTGATGTAAATTTCGATTTTCATAATGCTTATGTTAGGATTTATCTCTTGAGGAAATTGCTCATTCGCTATAGATTATAAGCACATGCTTTCAACCCTCGAACGGCGGACCATGAAGAGAGTTCCAATTTTAATTAAATTTTGTTTTTCATATTTTCATTTTCTAAATTTTACATCATTCTTTTAAAAATTATTCTTCCAATATACGAAACCTTTTCGTTTAAAAATCAATAGATTTAACTTTAGGTTAATATCCTCGATTAGGTACATGTTGTAAGTTTTGGTCACGATTGACCCAAACTCCACTGTTCAAGGGTTAAGCGACGCAATGTTTGCTCGTTACAGAATTGGTTGACCGATCTGGAGATTTTCGCCACCCTGGTGGCGGCGATTATTCACGATTACGAGCACACTGGGACCACAAACAATTTCCATGTAATGTCCGGTAGCGAAACAGCACTCCTCTACAATGACCGAGCTGTTCTGGAAAATCACCACATCTCCGCGAGCTTCCGGTATGTACGGTTCAAAAGGTCACTGCCTATCGAACTCCCACGAATTGATCGAAACGAGCTCGAAATAAAGAATTCCTACCTACCTTCAATTAAAAACAACTTTTTTTTTTAGTTTGCAAAGCTTCTTGTTTGACGAGAGAGCAATAAAAATCAATAGAAAACGTGGAGCTCAAAATACTCGTTTTTTTTTTAGTTTTTTTTTTTTTAAATCCTTGGTTGTATTGGATGTAAACGGTGTTTTATTTTTACTGAATTGTACGTTTCGTGGCGTATTCGTATTTTTGTATTATTTCAAACAAAAATCGAATGATTGGAAAAATGAAAAGGTAAGAAAATTAAAAGCTTCAGAGAAATTGAATTGATAATTTGAAATAGCAAGCTGATGTACTTAATTAATAAACAAATGAATACCCCTTATAAGTATATTAACCATGACTGGCGAATTTACAAAGTTCGAGATTTTTTCAGGATATTAAAGGAGGACGAATGTAACATACTGCAAAACTTATCGAAAGAGGAATTCCGTGAATTTCGTTCGTTGGTGATCGATATGGTCCTCGCGACGGACATGAGCTTCCATTTTCAACAACTAAAGAACATGAAGAACATCCTAAGCTTGGCGGAGCCAAGCGTCGACAAGAGCAAAGCTGTCAGTCTGGTTCTTCACTGCTGTGATATTTCTCATCCGGCCAAGAGATGGGATCTCCACCACAGGTATTTCCCGAAAATATTACTAAACCGGATACATTCATATTTAATTCAACCCCTTCACTATAGCTGCTAACGTAAACTGAATTAGTTATTTGATATAAAAAAGAAGGTACGAATATAAGGTAGGATAAAAATACGAGGTGCGATTTTTCCAGAATAATCCAGAAAAAAAGTTATTTGCCACGGTAGCATCCAACGTCATTCCGCCTTGACCTACAGTCATTCGTAGTAGCGAAAGGGTTAACCTTTTGACTAATAATTTTCTCAGCAATCACGTCTGTTTAATTATGGTCTTCGTTTTAGAGGTATAAACAGATCAACGAAGTACATAAAACCTTTATCTGATATACAGATGGACCATGCAGCTACTGGAAGAGTTCTTCCGACAGGGTGACAAGGAGAAGACTCTGGGATTACCGTTCTCTCCGTTATGCGATCGCAACAATACTCTTGTGGCTGAATCGCAAATAGGATTCATAGAATTTATCGTCGAACCCAGCATGCAGGTGTGCAGCGATATGCTGGAAACGGTCCTCGTTCCATTGTCACAGAACGTTAAAGAGAGCGTGGATGAGTCCAACAACGGTAAGTAAACCTCTAAGTCTAACGTTAAGTTATACTATCGCAGTAGAATAAATGGTATTTCACAAAGATTCTATATAAATGAATTTGCATTCCAATTTCATGTTGCAAAATAGAAAACTTCGAAAGGAATTTGATTTTGTTCATCTCCTCTTGGTAATTCAAGCGTTAAATAACTAATTCTAGAGTAGTTAATCGTAAAAAAAGAAAAATCATGAGGCAAGAAGTTAAAGCGCTTCAAGTAGAGAGGATATTTAAACGATGAATAATCTACAGGATCAGCGGCTGAAAGCAGGAGGATTAAGATCGGTAAGCCATGGATTCCTTGTCTCGCGGAGAACAAGAGCATTTGGAAGGAACAAGCTGTTCGAGGTACGTACGTGTTTAAAATAGATGTAGAAGATCATTGAAAGTTTGAACATCGATTATTAACCCATTAGAGAATTTAGTATTACCAAATTCTTATGATATTCCAATTATCGTAATGTGTACAGTATCGCCCACAGTAGGCTTCTAAAAACCTTAAGTTTTGCCGTATTAATATTGAAAGTAATTTAGAAAAAGTAACATCATTTTTTATTCTTAGATACCATAAAATTTACTATATAAATTAAAAGTACGATTAACAAAGTAAATATTAATTCATATTATGTGCAAGTGATGGGGAATCACAGGGCTATATAAGTATATGGGGCCTCTTCCATACATTGTTATTTTCCTTGAGACCATCCCCGGGGTGGATTATTATCAATTCAATTCTATTTAAATTCTTGCTTAATTTATTCTTCTTCTAACTTCACTAATTGACGAACACCGTTGAGTACTGTTCCTAACTTTTATGTAGATGAATTTTATGATCATTATAATGTAAGAATGTTCATCCGTTTGATTTATAGATGCTGAAGCAAGAGCACAGAAAGAGCAAGAGCAGAAGGCGAGCGATAACCGTGAGGATGGCGACACGTCACAAGCGGCACCTGAGGAATGAAAAATGCGGCGAGCCGTGTTGTTTTTCAGGAATATATGTAATTTTAGGCTACGAAGCCCGTCAAAACATTGAAGATCACTATTGAACTGGCTGGTTGATTTCTTTGGACACTAGCGTATCTAAAATTATAGATACACTTCTAGGAATATTTATACCGTTTCTTTATCACTTCACACGGACCGTATCGACAAAGAAAGTCCGTATCTCTACAACCCGTGATGTCTCGTTGCAACAGATATAACAAAATATTAATTAACAACAAAATTAAGATCAACCTTCTTCAAGGTATTCATTTTAAAGCTTGCTTTACCTCGTCAGCAACAAACTCTCGATTCGCTCAAAATAATCAGCAAAATGTAAAAATGATAAAACTATTTTTATTCGATAATAAAAATAATTTACTATTTAGTAAAAAATAACCGGGCTCCCAGCATTCGCGTAGCCTAAAATTACCAGTGTCTGCGACAGACAGTGAAAATCGAGCGCACTTAACAAACACACACATACACGGAACAAAGAAATCATTAAACGTACTTAGAGAGCACAATTATTCGTTCGCAATCAAGTGCTGACAAGTGTGAGAGGACACTACGTTAATGTTAACGGAATTTCCACGGCGTTCCGCTATTTGAACGCTGTTCTTATCCGTACCTGTTTTTTCTTACAATTAGTGTATAACTACGAGCATACATTATTTCATAGGAACGAAGACTTTCATCTTTGACGAAGCATCCAGGAGATATGACGCGATCAATTTATTCTATTACTTTCATTCATCGCGGAAAAATAATCAAAATTTCCATTTTCTTAGCTTTCCAAATCTGAAGCAGTAAAAAAAAGACAGAGTTTAAGAATTATTATCATAGAATAATAAGATATACTTTATATTGCAACTTTGGAAAAGTAGAAATGTTACAAAATAGCAGAGTTATTCTGTTAGAATGTAAAATTCAATTTTCGATGGTATATTTCCTGAAATGTTATTAACAAGCAACTATGCTTATACATTTATACTATTTGCTTTTACAGTTTTTTTTCTAACGTCATACGATAAGAATTAATTAAATGTTGTAGCCTGAAAATTGATAGACGCAGCTGACTGTCGCACAAGTATCGAGCTCGAAGTTTCTTTCGAATCGAGAAATTCGACTTTTCCTTTCGAAAAAGTACTGTGAAGTTGAAGTTGAAAGTCTTCGTGTTGCGCCAAGCCCTAATCTCAACGCGGTCGCGCGATAGAAACGGATTTCCGCAAGAAGAAGGAAGCTTACACGTGCTTTCTCGATACCGTGACCGATTGCTGGTTGATAAAAGAGAAAGGGCAAAAGTCGCTTCTTCGACAGTCCGATTTCTTCGATTTGATTCATTCAAAAAAGTTTCATCCTCGAAAGTTTTCGGCGGACGCACGTGATTCGATTGGTCGCTGTTTCAATTCAATTTGCAAAACGGTATCCTCCGTAATATCGTTCATCGAGACTTTTCTCAGATCGCTAAGAAAGGTCGAGTTAACGTCGTTAAAGGACGAGAACCTTTGAGACATGATTCTGAAACGGTTATTGGATTAGTGGAAAATAAGTGGATATATTCTTTGAAAACATCTTTAAGAATATTTTTACCTATTTTCAGATAAAAATTCATCGGAATGGAGATATATTTTTTAATAAGTTTGCCGAGCTACTTTTTTAAATGATTATAAAGTTTGTATTTAATTAAGAAATTTGTTGAAATGTCTAATAATTTCTTAATCAAACATTCCGTTTATGTGAGATATACTCATTTTTATTGAAAGTGCTTACAGAAAATATCATTTTCTGTGAAATTTTAAAATATACTTATTCAAATAAAATTTGAAAAGTGTATAAGTATATTCTAACGTTAAAATTTCTCAATTTCCAACGATAACTTAAATGTAAATAAACTATTTAAACACTTCAAAGGAGAAAAGATGTTCTCCAAGAATTTTCGAAAGTATATATACATTCAACCTCGATAGCCAGGAAACGAGAAAGGAAAGGGTGCTGATTTAGAAGTTTCCAATCGAATCAGCGATCAAAAGAACGAACAAGTGACACTGAATCAGGAAAAATCGGGCCCAAATAAGCAGTGAGGGTTAGTTCCCCAGAGGTGTAACGTCACTGTACATACTTACGTTAGAAGTGTATTCGTATACACGTAAAGATGCAGCTTTAATGTATGTAAATGTAAAATGTAAAATGGGATATCATTAGAGTTTACTTCGACGTGCGCTACGTTTCGTCCACATGTACATACATAAGTGGAAGAAAGTCGGGTCCTTGTGTATCGATGTATCATCCTGAACGAAAGACGTCGATAAAAAAAAAAAAAAAAAAATTAACGCAAACGCAAATGGATATCACAAACGTGTCAAGTTTGACCAATTGACATAACATATCGGAGAATTGCTTTATAAATGGGTATTGATCGATTGAAAGAAAGAATTGAATTTATACGACGTCTTTTCGCGCTCAACTTCTACCGATGACATGTAAATCCTTCAATCAGGGCTCGTAGTCTTCTTCAGAAAACGATGTATTCGTGTAAAATTGCAAGGGATAGGACGTGGAAGCGTTATCTTGAAAATGATATATTATATCGTCATAGAGAATGTATAGAATAATGTCTCTAGCTCGAGGGTTAAACATATCCGTCCTGTATTTATTTTTCTTTCTCTCCTTGTCCTGTTTTATTGGCCCGCGATTGGATGTTCTTTGTTACTGTGAAATTTTAAGTAAATACGTTAACCCTTGAACTGACCAGGTCAATTGTGACCCAAACGTAGAACCTTCCTATATCGGAAATTCTATAATATTTAAAGAAACAGTATAAAATTTAGAAAATGAATTGTAAATTAAATTGATGTCATAAATTATACGTTGAGTTAGCAAAGACTTCGCTTCGTAATTGATTAAGAAAATGTTAGGAACTTCGCGATACACAGAACACCCATTCAGCGTTCCAAGAACCAGCGTACCTTGCTTAAGTGCGAGTATATTAATTGTATATAAAAATTGTAAACGGGATCTGTTGCCTGTTCGCAACGCGGAGAAACGTTCGCATATTTTCTCTCAAGCCAAGACTGTATGTACACGAGATTTGAATTCAAGAGGCAAGGAAACTCGCACTTACCTATTCATTTCCTTCAATTATGTATCCACCAAAAAAACATTGAGAATCATTAAAAGGTAGTAATTTATTGAATATAAGTCTAATTTGGATGATAAAAATAATGTAACATTATAATAGACGTAGATATTTCAAAAAAGAAATAATCAAAATTTACAATGCATAATAAATAAGGGTGTGAAGCTATCCGATCAGTGTTGGATCGGGAATTCGGTTCGAATTCACATGAATTTGTTCGAGTATCCGTCATTTCGGCACTCGAAATTCAACTACATTCGATTATGCAGAATAACATATATGAAAACACTTCCAACTTAAAAATCCAAGGTAAGTCTGAAAAATCATGCCCCAAACGCGGTGTCTAAATTTCGAACTGAATTTCTGATCCGAAGCGATTTCGAGTCCCAAGTTAATATTTGGGTCCCAAAATTACGGGTACCCGTACAAATTCATGAACAGGATAAACTTTCGAGGTTTGGCCCGACTCGACCCGGTAATTACCCGCCCCAATTCGGTGCTCGCATTTCAGAGTAGCCGTATATTCATAATAACGAAGCGTCTTCATACAGAAATCAACATTTTTTGAAATAGAATGTTTTCTCAGTCGACTTATATCAATATTCTTCTTTCTGCACCTGGGAAACATTTGAACAAGTAATCTCTTTGTTCCTTTGGTGGATCCGTATATTTACGCTTCGCGCTGATGTTCGTCATCAACGAACACGCTTGCCATTATTACGTTACGTGCTCGACACGAGTTCGTTTTCCTTCCTGCAGCGGACGAGGGGCCAAAACGCGTGATAGAATACTAAAAACAGTACACTTGAATCGTGCTCGTACTAAGAGAGTAATATTTCGATAAAAAAAGCGCGAGCGAACACGTAGACGATTAATCGTTGGTTTCGATTACGTTGAGATCGTTGAACAATAACCCCATGATCATGCTGCAATTATTGGGTATAATCGTGACATACGAGGCTCAGATTTGAAAGTATTAAATGCAGATGCAAGAAATCGATTTGCCCTTCCTTTGCTACAAATTTGTTAATAGGCTTTTAAGAATCAATTAACAAACCTATGATTGCTATTAATTTACGTATGACTCATAAAGAAAGTCTTCCAGCTTGAAGATTTTAATTTTTAGAAAATTTTGTGGAATTGTAGAAAACATCAAGTATGCAAGTTAGGATTTTGTTTTTTCGTCGAAATTCAGGCTAAAAAGGTGAATCTCTTCCTTGAAGCATGCCAAATTAATTAACAAACTTATTTTGTTTGCGCAAGTGCATAAATGAATGTTTAATGTCTCAAGTGGTAATCAACGTGATAATCATGCAAATCTTTTCACGCTTAATATTTAAAATTTCCAGAGAAGCAAATTTTCTTCAGCAAAGTCTGCGTTTTCGCTCGCGTCCTTAATTTTTACCCTAAAATTCTCTTCAATGAAATACTGGCCTTTCCTTGTAGAACAGAAAATTATACATATGAATCGAGATAATGCGACTAAAGAAAAGACGGGTGCAAGATTCTCGATCCATATCGACCATTGTAACGCTTCGCTCTAGGTGTACCTAGGAAAATTAAAAAGAATAATGAAAAGCACGATAAATGATCAATATAATCGATACGCGATTACATCGTGGCTCGATCGATATTACGTGACACAGAGGCTTCGGACGAAACAATACTCGACCAATAATCGTAAGATAGGTTCACACCGAGAAGCACCCATCTCACTGACGTGCAAACACTTACTTACACGTACAAACACCCCTTTAATCCTCTAAGAATTGTACGACTTTTCACTTTTTATTCGTCGTCGAGACTGGTTGAACAACTATGTACCGCGTGACTAGGAATCGAACGTGTGTACACCTAGGATTTTTCCTTCATTTTTATTTCTCTCGAATTCCTTTATTCGACCAGAAACGTTCGTTTATCGGCACAATTTATTGCAACAGGTGTGTACATAATCAAGTAAACTTCAGCACCATGTCCGTTTGATGTGATGTAATTAAGTAACGACGTAATGATGACAAAGAACGGGAGAATATATATTAATATAAATACAGATATGAAGTATAAATACATCTCGTCTATAATTAGTATTGTATTCTGCATAAATTTACCGAGAAATAAAAAATACTCGATTAGTTATTGTCGTTTCGATTGCACCGTACCTTTAATTCATTCTGAAACGGCGAACCATGGAGAGAGCCACAATTTTAATTTAATTTTATATTTCATAATATTTTCACTTTCTAAATTTTACTTCACACTAAAAAAAGAAGTAGAATCAATGACTACCCCTGTTTTCAAGGGGTTTTGAATTTGTGCCTTGAAAACAAACGCCATCTGCTCTATCCTAATATAAAAATGTGAAACACTTCGCACTGCAACAGCCTAACGCACGTTGATGGTAATAGCAGATTGCTTCGATACCAAAGACTACATCCATTACTCACTGTCAGTCACTGTCTCTTGCTCAGCCTTGCCATATTATAGCAACAAGAGGAGCAGCAAGGAGAGGTTGATATGACAGCTTCACCACCTAAAACCTGTGGGACCGTCAGGGCCCCTGGCGTCAAGAATAGGGGCTCTAAAGGTATATAGAAGCCAGCACCGAGTGCAAGCCCTCGAGCCACATTTGTAATGTCGCTCTTTTACCATTAACCGGTACATTACTAACTGTCAGTAACATGCTCACCTTTCCTTCATTTCTATCATATCGACGTAACCTTGTACAGCAAGAAAGGTAAAAGAGAAATTGTATTGATCGCAGGAAACGCATGCGTATGTGATAATCGGATCACATGTGGAAGGGTAACGCGACTGAACGAACAATCAGTGGAAGCAACTGTGTTACGGTTCGGAGGTTTAAGTAGTCGCGGTCGTCGTAGCAGACGTTCGTGGTCAGACACGTGTTTCCCAGTGATCGTGACAAAAATCGTATCAGAACAAGCCTCATCATTCGCTTCACCGAACGGTGAACACATTTCTTTAATTAATTAATTAATGAAACGCTAGACAAACATATCGTTGATGTAATGACAACATTCTGGATAGAATGAATGATTGAAATTCAAAGGTAAACTTCAAATTTGTTTGTTAATTAAACGTGGAAAATTAATTGTACATGTGATTTGCTGAACGTATTTATTTTTATTTTTATTTTATGTGGATTGAATAATTCATTATTGAAATTGAAGGAAAAGTTGAATTAAATTATTCTTCTTTGATGTAGTTGGGAAATATTGATGTTTATATGATTGTTCGAATGTATATGAAGGATTTGGTAAATTGTTCATCGGTGTTCACAAATGTGGAATCATAAATTAAGCAACGACCCGTATGGTGCAGAATAGCGCGGTATAGATAAAGCTGCATTGCGGTGATGTTCTACTGGAGTATATTCTTCGACGTGTTTTCATGCAGCTGTGAAATCCTACGATCGTTTATTTCTCAATACAATCGCGTTTAACGTATCGCCTTGATGTTAAATCGATTTACGATTTTTTCGTACCGTTCAATCGATACTCATCAGTCCACGCAGTCCTATCGAAATCGAAACAATTTACTGTAACGACTATTGAAGTGCTTTCGATTCTGTCATGAATTTTCAAATTATAAGAAATTAAAATATTGTACAATCTTTTTTTATTATTAATCGCTGGTGGTAGAAATCCTTCAAGGTTACCTGTTGTCAATACATCACACGAGTATTATCCCTTGTTATATTTCATTATTTGGCACGAGGGAATTTTTAACAATTTCAAATTTTAATATATAGTAATCTTTATTCCAGTGACTTTTAATTCACATTGAAATGAAAAAAAGTTTTTAATTTGTACTTTTACAAATTAATTACAAAATTAATTTTTTTGTAATTAAGTTTGTAATTTTTGTACAGTGGAGTCTGGGTTAATTAAGACCTAAACTTGCAAAACATATACAAAGATATTAACCTAAAGTTAAATACATAATTTTTAAACGAAAGAGTTGCATATCCTAGAAAAATTATTTTCAGAGCGACAGGAAAATATGAAAATTAAATTAAAATTGGAGCTCTCTTCATGGTTTCCATGGTCTCTCTATATCCGAGCGATAACTCCAACATTGTTATGCAAATAATTAACATTTTTTACTTTATTTCTACTTAATTTTTAAAATCGTGTTAATATAATAATGATCGGAGTTTGTAAGTTATGAAAAAAAAGGGGGACATCGATTGAAACATTCGTCAAATTGCATCGTTTAGACTTGCAGTGACCTTGGCATGGTTGTTGCACTATATTGCATTCGTTTCTAGCCCAGCAATTTCTACTGCCAGTTTAATTTCAAATTCTTACGGCATCGAACCTCCGATGGAGATGTTGGCGCAATCGATGATCCATTTCTGGCGATTCTGGCGGTTCCCTTTGATGTTTTTGACACATCCTGCCTAAAAAAAACCTTTCTCGAATGGGCTGTCGCTGTCAAAGATGTAGCCGTAAATAAAAAGGATATTGTTAAAAGAATAATTTTTGTGAACAGTAACTTACATAGGATTTTTGGAATGAGTGTTAACCTTATGGAATTATTATCATAGTCGGTGTCAGTAATTAATTACAAATTTATCCATCACACAGGCCCAAAGGCTATCAGCCATTCGAGGGCCTCCTTTGTTCATAAACTTGCTTGAAAAATTGAAATTCATTCTAAGTAGATTAAATAACACAATCGTAAAGAAGAAGGGCAACGGTACAAAAAAATTCTTTTAATAGAGCTCCCTGGAAAGTAAGGCCTAGGGTCTCTTCTTAATCTGGCACTGCCATTGTGTTATACTCTTTTTTTTAAATAATTTCAATAAATTGTACAGTATCTCATCAGAGTTATAATCAAATTTAGTAGATTTGATAAATCATTACGGTAACACAAATTAATGTGCGAGTTCGAATAACTAGAAATCATGAAACATTCATTCATGTATTTATAGAGAGCTGAATTACCCAACTTAGTTTCCGCGTGTAATTTTCAACAGAATCAGCTATCTTAAAGGACGTCCGCAATTATTCCGTATCACAACCGGTAACCATAAGTCTCGTTCACTATGTGTACATAGTGTTCCACATAACCGTATGATTTCGAGCTGAATGGAGATCGTAGGAAATAGCCACAAATGATGCTGAATTACTTCATACAAATTTAAACAAAAAATTGAAGCATTTACGTATAAGTATTTTAATACTTTACTTTTACACGAACTGCAAATGTAAATATATGCAGTTATCCATAAATGTCAAATATTGATATTTTGCTTTGCGACATTTCCTCTTGCCTCCTTCTAAAGCTACAAAGTGATTTATTTGCGTGGGACACTCAATATACACACAATGGACGATAACAGTAACGAGGCGGTAGATTATTAGCAAGGTAGGCATCAGCATAAATATTAAAGGTTACATTATGTCACGCACCTGATGTTAAAGAGGAGAGATACAAGTTTACTTAGAAACAAAATTACCATTTACTGTGTTTACGTGTAACTTCTGACCCCTTGTGTATTTCCGGCGTTCAAAATCAGATAAAAATTTCTAATCATCGATGGCCCTATTGGTTGATAAACCTGATTTCAAAATTGAAATTTAGTTTAAATAAAATTTAATATTTAGTCGTGAAGAAAAAGGGCAATATTAAAAATAATTTCATTCATATTTCTTCGTTGGAAAGTGGGACCCGGGGCTATAGCTTTCCTTAATCCGTCGTTGTCCCTATTACTTTTTTTCATACGTACAATAAATTACAGAAGCATTTGTAACACCTCAATCGTTGACTTTTTCAGTTTGTATTTTTTTTTTTTTAAAGAAGTATAGAAACACTTAGCTAAAGTGGTATATTTTACATATGAAGATATAAAGACACATTTATCATCCTTGTACCGATATGACTGATAAGATAATTTGCTATTCAAATACGCTAATGCTTTTCTTATGTTGCTGGTACTTACAGGTGTGCACTCATTCAGAATTCTTTAAACAGAAAAGTCGATAATATTATATAAAGTATATATTTCAAATCTGGTATTTTCTTGGATAAATAAGTTTTATCGTGAAACATTGTTAAAACATATAAGACATTGTGTTCGATAACAATAAAACTATTGATGCATATTATAATTTAAGGTATGAATTCCTTGTGCGGAGGGTATTACGTAGTTTTGACATAATAAGGCGAACAGTTGTAACAAGAGAACTAGTTATTATGTAATCGTATTGAAAAAAATGCTTGTAGAAAATTGTCGAAGGATTTTTGCTTTATTATATTGTTTATTTCCTTTTTTCTTAATTACAATCTAATTTTCTATAGAAGATTCAGTTCTTAAACACATAATATGCTAAAAATTCTAAAAAGCTATTATTAAATTTGTTAAATCTGTATAAAAATTATTAAATATTTTTTTCACAAAGTTTAGAATCAGTACCGATGTCATACCAACCGTCTCTCATTCCTGAGATATTAAAAAATTCCACACCTACGCAAAAATTTACTTTTCAGCTGTCCTTTATTGCGCTGCGTACGATGCTTCAATATTACACCACCTACACCTAAATGTCTTCACTGACCTACATACATTCGGAATACATTTTACGGAGCTTATCTGGAATGACTTTCTGACGAGTGATAAAGCGTACCTAATCCATTCATCATCCTATTTTTTAATAACATCTAACATTCTTTCTTTTCTAACGTTTTTTGTACATTTTTTTTTCAGGAGATGGTGGACGTAACAACAGCTCCGCCATCCACCGGTGGAGCAACTTTAATTGGACGCACCAGAGGTGCACTTAGATCCGTCAGATCTGCATTGGGGGGTAGTGGAGAGTATCTTCAGGGTCTGGGTAGTAGGATAGGATCCGCTTTAAGTAGTAGTTTAGAAGAGAGCGAATTGACCACGACCCCGTCGACACCGCCTTCTTCGCCACAAGCACTACCTCAGACAGATAAACCGGAAGAGCAGTTGGCTAGAAGAAAATTGAGGCTTCCAAGGTAATCGTCGTATACACCACAAATTTCTTATATTTGATAAAAGTTGCTTTTTGATAAAATTGCTAATTAAGTTGATGCAGTTTTGTATTTCGATGCATCAGCAAAACCAAACAACAACACTTCACCT